TATTAAGGGATGCTTGCCCAAGGATTCACCGGGGCTGGCAGAAAGTATAGTTGAGAGGGCGGCGATTTGCCTGCGCAGTGTGTTTGGCGAGAGGTCCCTCTCTAGGCCATCTAGTAAAAATTCTAGGATCTTGGGAATTGTGATCCCTTCGAGTAACAATTCCTGTTTAGAGCACCATGATTGGAAGCTTCTCCACGTGGCCTCGTAGATACGGTTCGTGGAGGGGCGCCTTGATGCCTGTATGACCCTAATTACACCCTGTGAGCAAGCCCCCTTGGCTAAAATTGACCGTTCAAGAGCCAGACGGCTAGTTGTAGCCATTGTGGCTCTGGGTGGGAGATCTCCCCCTGCTTGAGGGAGATCCTCTCCGGAGGAATCCGCCATGGATTCGTGCGGGAGAGACTCCTCAAGTCTGCGAACCAAGGTCTCCTTGGCCAATAAGGGGCCACAAGGATTACCTCGGCCCTTTCCCGCAGAATCTTGCGTACTACCGCCGGAAGGAGAGGTAAGGGTGGAAACGCGTACAGGAGCCCCCTTGGCCATGGGCTCCGTAACGCGTCCGTCTGCTCTGCTCCCTTGGATGGGAATCGGGAGAAGAAGCGAGTTAGGTGGGCATTGGAAGGAGAGGCAAAAAGGTCCACCTGGGGAAGCCCGAAGCGGTGACAGACCTCCCTGAAGATCCTCGGGTGTAGTTGCCACTCCGAGTGATCTATTGTTGATCTGCTCAACAGATCTGCTTGGATGTTTGCCTCCCCCGATATGTGGTCGGCCTTTATGGAGGCCAGATTTTGTTCCGCCCAGGCCCCCAGTAGGAGGGCCTCGGCCGAGAGCGAGCGAGAGTGTGTGCCCCCCTGACGGTTTATGTGGGCCTTGGCTGTCACGTTGTCCGTCAGGACCAGTACGTGCCTGCCTTTTATGCTGCTGTGAAAATGCCTTAACGCTAGGTGAATAGCCCGCAGCTCGAGCCAGTTTATGTTGTGTCGGAGATCCACCGCTGACCAGCGGCCCTGTGTCCACTTGGTCCCCAAGTGGCCTCCCCAGCCGAATAAGCTCGCATCTGTTGTGACTACTACTCTGTCTGGTTCCCTGAAGGGGGACCCCCTGAGGAGAGCTGGAGATAGCCACCACCTGAGGGAGTGTCGTACTCTCAGAGGTATGCCTACCCTCTTCCGGGATGCACTGATTTGTTGTCTCTGAAACGGGAGCATGAACCATTGCAGTTCTCTTGAGTGCAGCCTTGCCCAAGGAACTATTGCTATGGTCGATATCATCTTCCCTAGCAGCTGGGAGAGGCAGACCAGCGTCACTGACTGACCGCGGCTTACCTGTTTTACGGCTTTCTTTATGCTGCTGAGGCGTTCCTGTGATAGGTACACCTTGCATTCCTTTGTGTCTATGACCGCTCCCAGGTGGAGTATTCTCGTAGTTGGGGTTAGATGGCTCTTTGGAAAGTTCACCGAGAAGCCGTGGTCCTGCAGCATTTTTATCACTAACTTTAGGTCCGCCCGAGACTGCTGGGCGGACGATGACTGGATTAGAATATCGTCCAGGTAGCACTGGACTCTGACTGGTACGTTTCTTAGTTGTGCTGCCAGAACCGCCAGAATCTTGGTGAACACCCTGGGCGCTGATGACAGGCCGAATGGAAGTGCCCTGTATTGAAAATGGTGCCCCCTGTAGGCAAACCGTAGAAAGCGGCGGTGAGCCAGAGAGATAGGGATGTGCAAGTATGCCTCCGTGAGGTCGATCGATGCCAGAAAATCCCCTTTCCTTACGCTTCCAAGGATGGAGCGTAGTGTCTGCATTTTGAATTTGCGGTATTTTATGTAGAAATTTAGCCTTTTCAAATCCAAAACGGCTCTCCAACCCCCCGAGGGTTTTGGGACCACGAAGAGGATAGAATAAAACCCCTGGTCTCTCTGGTTCATAGGCACCGGCTCTACGGCCCGTATGTTTAGAAGGTGCTGAACGGCCTCGTTCATGAGCCTTCTCTTTGTTGGGTTTGTGGGACAGGGGCACGGGCGGAAGCGGTTCGGGGGCTTTGAGAGAAATTCTAGATATAGACCATGACGTATGGTGTTCCTGACCCATACGTCCGTGGTGGTCTCTTCCCACTGGGGAGCAAACCCTGCTAGTCTGCCCCCTATGGGAAGGTCTGGGCGGGAGTCATCTGGTACGGCGGAAGGGGCGGTTGTTCCCCCGAAAGGGCCGTCTTCCCTGTGTTTGCCTATGTCTTGTGTTCTGTCTGTCCCCCTGTCTTTCCCTATCCTGTCTAGCTTGGAAGGGTTGGGAATTTTGAAAGTAGTTGACCCTGGCTTCCGTACGAAAGGATTGTTTCCTTCCCCAGGAGCCGGGTCTCTTGTCCTGCCTTTTAAGCATGTGTTTAAGGACCTTGCGCTTGTCCTTGTTCTCTGTCAGGTATGGCGTTAGTGCCTCACCAAACAGCTTTGCCCCTTGGTACGGAGCCGAAGCCAATTTCCACTTGGATTTGGTATCCGCCTGCCAGTTCTTTAGCCAGAGGATGCGCCTGCTCGTGTTGTTTGCCGCCATTGCCTTGGCTGAAAACTTGGTCGCTAAAAGTGTTGCGTCCGACGCATATTCCGTGGCCGCTACCATTTTGCTGAGTTCCTGATGAGTGCGTATATCTTCCATGGGAACCCGGCCCTGTAGCTCACGGAGCCAACAAAGTGTGGCTCTGGTGAAAAAGGACGCGGAGGTAGACGCCCTGGTAGCCCAAGCTATTGCCTGGTGCGTTCTCCTGTAGTTGGACTCACTCTTTCGGTCCTCGGCTTTAAGAGCCTCAGCAAAATCTCCTGATATGGCCGTGTCCGATATCAGGGGACCTATGGGTTCGTCCACCACCGGCACCTCCAATGTTCCCTCTAGCCCCTTTGCTACGTTAAATAGCTTCCTCTCCGCATTGCTAGGAAGCGGTAGGGAGGTTGGCGCTGCCCACTGTTTCCTTATTGTGTTTAGGAACATGGTCGGGCATGGTATGCGGTGTTGAGTGGTTACCTTTTCGGCGAACGTCGGCTCAGCCTCCGTGTCAACTGTGACAGGCTCCGCTGGTGTCCCATGCCCCAGATGGGCTGTGGCCTCAGCCTTGCGCAGAATAGTAACAAAAAGAGAAGGGTTAAACAGGCCGCTGAAGGACGGCCCTTGAGGTGAGGTGTCCTCCTCCTCCTCAGACATTTGAATCCCTTGTGACGTACCTGGCTGGTCCAGGTAAGCTTCCTCAGAGACCGACGAGTCTGAGACGGAGGAGAGGTCCTGATGGTCCTCCGTTTCCTCCCGATGCCTCGTTCTAAGTCCTAGAGACTTGGCTTTTGAAGTTTGAGCCCTGGCCTCAAATGCACGGTCCACTGCCTGTGCTATTAGGGTAGCTAGCAGATCCCCCGTCAATGCAGGAGGAGTGACCATTGCCTGGGACCCTGCAGGTGCTGTGGTTAGCATGGTCCTCGGGGTTTCCTGTAACCTCCGTGGGGAGGGGGATCGGGAGAGCGATGAGAATTCGCCTATCCCACCCTCTGTTTGGGACTGTGATGAGCTCCCTAATGACCAAATGGCCCGTGGGGATGAAGGGAGACCCAGCGGTAGATCAGAACCTATTCCCCCATTCTGCCTATTTTCAATTCTGGCCCTTTTCTGGGCTCTGTCGAACTCTTTTTCTAGGGCTTGGTGTCTTCTGATTGCCTGTTTGTCAGCCTTCTTTGATGACTTCCTTGCAGCCTTTCTAGGGGCTGCAGAGGATTCCGAATCCTCTGAAGCAGGTGCTCCAGAGGATGAAGGCGGGGCTCCAGTGGAGGGAATGATTGCTTCCTCCATTCTCCACTAACGCTGGGCCGCGATAGGGGGGACCCAGGTAGTAGGAGAGCTCCAACTTTGAGTAAGGACAGGCGCACTACTGGGGGCGTCTGGAACTCAGGAGCAGACTCTGCCAAATTGTCAGAGTTAGTCACTGTGCACGGATAAGAACAGGCACGCTAATGGGAATGCCTGGAACCCGGCTTGACTATGGTGGGTAAGGACAGGCACGCGACTGGGGATGCCTGGAACCCACCACTAAATCCAGAGGCGTACGGGCCACTAATGGGGGACCCGAAGTCTGGAAGGAGCCAAAGGCAACTAAACACAGTTAGTTATGAAAGGTTCTTATTTACTTTAGGTAGAAGACACCAAGTCCTGGCATCAGTAGCTATGTGTCTGATTTGAATGTCTCTGAATGACTAATAGATGCTTTAGTACCCCAGTACTGCTTGCCTATTATTCACTCCAGCGGCTGAACCTAGCTTCCTTAAGGAACTTTAACTCCCCTGTTTGGACAAAAAATATGGCCGCCGCTGCCAGGAAACTACTGCGCATGTGTTAACAAGGCTGCCTATGCCACGTGCGGTTGTAACAAAGAGCTGCGCGTGCTTCCAGCTGTGCAGACAATGGCGCCTCGTTTAAAAAATCCTGAGCAGCCTGGAGTGAAAAGACTGCTCCTTCGCACGCCAGCTGTTTCCCTTAATCAATCTCCCTCCCAGCATGCGTCCCCTTTGTCCTCCGCTTCCCTCGCTAACTGCTTGCCTTTCTGTCTTTTTTTTTGTTTGTTTGTTTGTTTTAAACGCGAGGGGTTGCCCGAGCCTCCCCCCGTTTGTTTAAGGCGGCTGCCGGCTGTTGGAAGGTGGCTGGGGTTGTTTAGGGAGGGGAGTTAGGGATTTCCCCCTTTTAAGTGGGGGAGGTTTCCCCTGTAGGAATCTGACTTCCTGAGTTTTACAATTTAGCAAGGAAATTTTTGAGTGGTCAATTAAATTGAATTAAATTATCTCTAATTAACTTTTAAACTAAGCAATTTCAGCTACTAGAAAAAAATCCCCCCCTAATGGAAAGGAACTATACCTGCCCAGGAGCCAAAAGTTCTAGATGTGTCTTCATGGCGAGATCAGTCAAGACTGGGGGATCATGGTCCAAGACGGGGCGTGGCAACTTTGGCTGACTGATCTGATTGGCCAGGAATACAGTCTCAACTCACTGCGTGGATTATCCATCTCCAGTGCTGGAGAACAAACAATTATAAAGTCATAATGCATAAAAATTTAAATGAATGTTATTTTGAAACAGTCACCCCAAAATACACTCAGGAAGCCAGACAATATATGATTTTAAGGCTATGCCTGTCAGACAGAGGATCTGAGGACAAAAAGGCGGACATGGTCTCCTTTTGCTTGACATCTGGTAACCAGAGTACTTCTGTGAATCAGCCTCTGACTTAGAATAACCCACGCACGCTGGCTGAGGAATTCTGGGAGTTGAAGTCCACAAGTCATACAAGGGCCAAGTTTGAAGACCCCTGGAATAACCCATTTTTACTACGCATGAAGGCTCTGTGAGACAAAAGAAAAAGGACGGTAGTTTTCAACTGATAGAATCCTTTGGAGAATAGCAAGTGGCTATAAACAAAAATAGGGAAACATGGAAATCATATTTGAGCTATGACTATCATGGCTGATTGCATTTTAAAGTAACAAAACAAGGAGGGTAACATTAGCATTGTCTTCCAGACTACTTTGCAGCTATGTTATATGGGTTGGAAATGCATGAAAGAAGAAGGAAATAAATGATAATAACAGTAGTGCAATTCAATATGATTTACAAGGCATGAAAATGTATTATCTCAGAATTATGCAATATAATTAAATTCCAATCTAATTTTGAGTAGTGTAACTGTTTATATGGGTATATACATATGATACCTTTTCAAAATGTTCTTCTTTTAAATAGATGGCCAATACCTAATCATCTGCTACTACTTAGATAAGGAAAACATTTATCACAAAAGGAACACATTATCCAAATGACAAAAACAATTCTTCTATAGGACATCCCTTATCCTGAATCAGATTGCCTTATTGCTTCTTATCCACTGAATAGTGAATAGCAGGTTCCTTTAAATTTCTGAATAATGCAGGAAAATTCTCTCTGCAGTCTTGTACTACGCGAATCATCCTTGCAGTGGCAGCTAGTATTAGATTAATTGAAAGATTTATTGTGAGATTCATTGAGAGATTTAAAAAGAATAGTAGCTGGTAGTCTCAAGTATTATTAAATTTACACCAACTTAAACATTTTAAAAGCTCTTAACCTAGAGGGGAAAAAAAACCAAGAACCCATCTCTTAGGGATGTCGTTCTGACGATACAATCTTCTGTGATGCAAATTAGTAAACTGCTAAAAAAACATAGGTGATATATGAGTGGTTCAAAATGCCTGCAGTGGTTCAGGGATGATAGGAAGAAAGAAGAGGCTCAGAAGATTTTTACCCTTGTATCATGGGGAACCAAAGGAAAGTTTACCTTAGAAAGGGGTAGCCTAAAGAGACAAAGCTTTTGGCTAAGAGAGACCAACAAGATTTTTCATGAATAAGTCAGGATTATCAGGTGAAAAGTAGGAAGTTTCCTTATCCAACTTTATTTCATTGCTACAGCTAGTAAGGGGAGAGAGGCAGCTTTAGGATGCAAAGGAATCCTGATAGCAGTATCGGTTTGCAATGCTTTGCCAGTGTGGAGATTGAAAGGAATCACTCTCTGAATTAGTTGCACCTGGATCACAGCATGAAGAACCAAGAAGATGTGGACTGGGTTTAAGCAGGGCAGGATAGAAAAGGTCTAAACCAGAAGGGATCACAGAAAGACAAAGAGAATGATGTGGATATAGTATACTTAGACTTCAGTAAGGGATTTGATAAAGTTGTCCTTAAGCTCATTCTTGATAAAATGGAACAATCTGCAACAGAGGATTCTATTGCCAGATGGATCAGTAGTTGATTGAACAACTATATCCAACACATACAGGTAGTCCACAACTTATGATCACAACTGACCCTAGGATTATGGTCATAAGTCACTGTGCACTTAACAATCACAACCCCTCCCCATTGCACTTGGGCATTAAGTAGAGCATGGGGTACCTCATGGGGTGGGAAAGACTAGGGTAGTTGGACTCCTTACTCAATTTTTATTTTATAAGATTGCATATAGTTTGTTTTTATGCTGGGTGAGAGCCACCCAATTTTGATTGGAGTTGGGTAATGCCAATCAAGCAAACAAGCAAATAAGAGAGCAGACAAAACTGATCTCTAATAGTGGGTTCAATCAGAATCTTTGCAAGCTGTATTCAGACAGTTGGAGAAACTTTTCCCTGCTTTAACCTGTACTGACTAAAAGTAGTTCTTCAGGTCTCAGACAGTTCTATTTTCCAGAAGTATCTGGAAATTCTAGAGACCGATTTTCCTCAGAAGTGTGCCAACTGACATTCAGTTATGGTCTTCTCATCATTTTTTTGAGGAGGTTAAAATATAAGCATATTATTTGCCTCCACAAATCTACTTTATGCATATATTTGAAAACCAAGTCGCAATGGATTTTTCAGACATATGGAACATCTGATATAGTTGATTTATTGTAGACAGAATACTGTGGAAATATGAAGACTCCATAAAACTATGAGTGAATGGCATCTTCACAGCTCAGGAGGCTGGTATAAGAAGATTGCCATAATAAAGCGTATCTAACATAGAAACCATGTTCAAGCTGCCTTATAAAATACATATCTTTGTGGAAAGAAGTATATATAAATAATTTCCCAAATAGACTTTTTGAGAAGTGAATAATTACAGTAATTCTAGGAATTTTATTTTAGTAAACACAAATCTCAGTGAAAATGTAGAGCTCCTTAGCATTCCTTTAGGATTTTTGAACTCTGCTTCTTCTAACAAATGTCTTTAGAAACACACAAAGTCGCTGGCCTGTCAGAATTAGGGGGCGTTATGCACAATTAATGCCCACCCATATCCTGTTTAACTAAGAATCTTTTGGGAAGTATTAATTCCAACTGCTGCTAGTTTTAACAGTAGGCTCTATATTCAAATCCTTATTAGTCCTTTAATATGAAAGAAAAGCCACACATGGCTATTAATTATGGAACCAGCATTAGTTTTTCATTGCCTGCTAAAAAGGGGGCAGGAGGGAGACAGAAAATAAAAGACCAGTCTCTTTTCCATTAAGGTAGAGAGTTTCAGCGGTTCGTTTAATTACAACTTGAAATAGGCAAATCAGAAAAGTAGACCAAACATGGTCACATTTTTCTTCTCCCCTCCCCCCCTTTTTTAAAAAGAAAAACAATAATTCTCTCATTAATTGCTTTATACTATGAAGGAAAAGACTCCAAGCCTGGGCTTTGCACAAAACTCATCCAAGAGTGAAGAGGGCAAGCTGAACACTTTAGTCTGTCCAGCTGCCCTTTAAGTGAATGGTTTTTCTGAGGGTTTGAATGCTTTCCTGTCTATACCCGTACAATGTAGGTGTTACTGCTCAGAGGAAAAGAAACAAAACAATAATCACTTGAAGGGAGCTGAGGCTGCTGAGGGAGGAGAACGTTCTCACTCACTCATAAAATCATGCCTCCTTCATATCAGGAAGAGGGAAGGGGTACAAAAGGTGACTTCGGATGGTACTTTCATGGGGTTTGGGAAGCCCTTAGAAAGCACAGGGCTATTCTCAGTGAAATTGGAAGAGCATCTGCCTTGGGTTTTGTGAGTCAATCGGTGGGCATTTTAGAGTGAAATAGCCCTCAAAAAGACCAAAGGGAGCTTTGAAAGATGCATTTTAAATACAAAAATCCCCCATGCATGCTGCTTGCCTGCATGGATATTATCCACCATTAACATCTTTACAGATGCCTCTTGAAGTAGTGAATATTGCTATAGGATTTGTTAGACAGTCTCCCTTTCTGTCACAGTAAACTAAAAAAAAAAAAAAGGGGGGGGTCTTCATTGTATAGGAGAGTGTACTCCTTTTACAATAGGCCATATTGCTGCAAACACATTGTGCTTCGTGTAACACTTCTGAGGTACATTGCCATCTTTCTTTAATTAGCTCTGTTTCTATTCCATCATTCAGAAAAATGTTGTGGAGCAGATCACAAGCAGCAGAATAACTAACAAACAGTATCAACATAACTACCGAGGAATTATTATCAGTTGAGCAAACAGTGCTACGGAATATATCACATTTGTTAAAGGAAGCTCTAGGTACTCATAAATGTATATTAAAGCATAGTAATCTTATCCAATGATAAAATTAGTTCCAGGCATGCTTGGGGAAAGTGTTTCACATCAAACAAACCATCATAAAACAAGGTCCTACCCTATATACTTCTTGAATAGGCTTTGTCACTAGTCAAATTATCCAGATTAAGATCTGCTAAATTGCTATAGGAAAGATTATAGCTTCATACACGGTATGTATTTTACAAAAAGCTTGTATGAAAGTAAAGAAAAACAATGTATTTGTCCTATACATAGATGAGAATCTAATGAATAAACATGTACGTGGATCTCGAACTACTAAAGATATTCCACTTCATTTGTTATTCTAGACTAGATCCAAAGAAAAGATACGATCATATAAGTCTGATTGAAATAGATATAAAAATTAATTTTATAAGTGCCATTGGTTTCACTGGAAATTAAATCTGGATCTAATTTTGTCAGATTCAGGTTTCAAACAGAAGTAATTGCTGCAATCATTAAGATTTAGGATTGGCTATATTTGCATAATGTTATTATTAGATAATTCTCTCTCTCATTGTAACTGTTTATTGTTGCAACAACATATTATATTTTATATTGTTTGGTTTTTCTGTTGTATTATTTTTTGCTTTTTAGGCACTTGTTATGTATTTTTAACAATGTATGTAACTTGATGTTTTGTTCCTTTTCATTATTTTAAATGCAGTAACAAGTAAATAGAAAAGGTTGACGACTGGCTATTAAATGAAGTTAGGTATTTTGATTAATGCTTATAACTTATCTCTTGAACATAATGATTCAATTTTCTGTGCCTGGAGATTATCTTTTGTCATAGGAATGCCAAGGTCAGTAATGACAGTGTCAAAAGTTTGTAGTGTGAATAGCTTGGGGGGGGGTTGTTTGTTTTTGGTTTGTATTAGAGTAAACTTAACTTTTTGGGAATTAACCTGTATATATTATATAGAGTGACATCTGCAGAATAAGATGTAAGCTTTGTCTCTTTTCAGAAAGTTGTATATTTATAAATGTTGTATAAATATAAATGTTAGCACTGTATGTCTCATGTCACCTAACATTTTGCCAAATTACATAATGCAGGTCGTATAAGGGAGACAAGCAGAAATGGGTAAATTAATCACATTTCTTTTTCTTTTAAATTTGAAGCTTGTGCGGTTTGCATTTAAGCCCCTTTGCATTAGTTACTTTTAGCCTGGTGAAATCTTTCCTCCGATTCAAGCATAAAAATTTTAGGTGCAGTGATTTCTATGCTCCCTTCACAAATACAAAAAAAAAAAAA